ACCACCACCCCCACCCTCACCGCCCACCCCCCAGCACCGCCCACCACCCGGCTAGCATGCAACACTTCCGCTACAGTTGCAGGGGCGGATCCAGGAGTTTTGAAAGGGCGGTGTCCAGGAAGAAATAAAGGGCACTTTTTTCCTGCTAACGTTTCTGGTGTTTTAATGCAGCCACTTAGGGGGGGTTTGGGGAATCCTCCCCCAAGGAAATTTTTAAAAATTGGTGCATTCTGAGAGCATCTGAGCAGTAATTTTGATGTCTAGAATGCAAAATGGAATTCCAAATTTTTAGCAGAAAATTATGTTTAAATTTTTTAGGTCACTTTGAAATTAAAGGGGGGAGGGGGTCCGGACCCCCCGGACCCTCCCCTTAGATCCGCCCCAGAGTCGGTACTGAACCAGCCGTGTGTTACCGACTACCAAAGCACAATATAGATTCACTAACGGTTCGTTAACACGTCGCTAAGCGTTCTTTAAACGACTCGTTAACCTTTCGTTAATAGCTACTGAACAGTTTGTTAGTAGTTTGTTAGCTGACCACTAATTACAGTTTGTTAATACTTCGTTAACAGGTTTGTTAATTGACAGGTGACAGGTCGATAGAACAGTGAGCAGATAACAGTCAGTGAGACAGACAGCGATAGCTACTGAACGGTTCGCTAATCGATCGTTAACCCGTTCATTATTAGCTCGTTAACCTGTTCGTTAGTATCTCGTTAAGCCGTTCGTTAACGCTTCGTTAACGCTCGCGGCCGTAGACGTCGATCAGTCGGCGAGGCTGCAGAGTTTCGTTTCCACGACGACCGCTCCGTCGTCGTGGAGAAGAAAGTAAGAGAGCGTCAGCCTCCGGAGAAGAGAGAGACACAGAAGAGGGGGCGGCGGAAGAGTTGCTACCGACACCGCACACAGTTCCCGACGCAGAGCCGTCGCCGCGGCGACAACACACCCGACACCGTCACCGTGGCAACGAGAAGCAGTGGAGAGCCGAGACACGCACACACACAGAGAGAGAGAGAGAGAGAGAGAGCGGAGGCGCGTGCGAGAGCGACAGCGAGAGAGACGACGACGACGACGACTCCCGCGCGCGCCGCCAGAGGGCACCGGCCGCTCGGCCTACAGGCTGCTCTCGAACTGACTAACGGTCTGGTACTGACTCGGAGGCTGCGGGTCGTCGTCGTCGGGGGCAACGCCGGCGCGGCGCGCCATCAGCGGCGCCGTCTCCGAGGTGTTGAGCGTCGTCTCCGGCGACGCGACGGCGGTGGCGCCGCCACCACCCTCGTCCTCGTCAATAAAGGAGATGTCGGCCGGGGAGTAGGCGTCCGAGTCGCGGCGCGCCGTCGCCACGGCGCCCGCCGCCGGCCACTGCTGCCCTCTGCCGGTGGGACGGCTGTGCACGCTGTGCTGCGAGCGCTTGTCCTGTACGTCCTCCAGCACGCTTCTAAACGCGCGCACGACGCGCAGCTGTCGGAGGCAAAACAACGGGAGCAAGAGATGTAAACGAGACCGAGATCGCACGCGCGGGTTCCTCACACAATGATGGTGGTGGCGGTTAGAGAGAGAGAGAGAGAGACGCACAGAGAGACAGAAGAAGAGAGAGG